TGCTATAGTATTTTATAACATGGTGAATTTTGAATCTCTACTAAAAGAAATGTCTACTTTTAATGTTTGACCATACCTCGAATAGAATTCTTTAATATGAAGATACTCCATCCTATCTATATACAAGATAAAAAAAAAATTGTATCATATAGTTTAAGAAAATAAGTTAACTACAATAATTGTGTCTAAAAATAAAGAAATTGAATTAAAATATCCTATGTTAATTAACATAAGTATATATTAATTATTTTTCATTAATGTAAATTATGAGGGATAATTTAAAAAATATGTAATCAATGCTTATCAAAATATATGATTTTCTTATTAAAAAAAATCAAAAGTGATAGTTTATCTAAAAAATTAAATATAAACGAAGGGATTACTTGTGAGCAGCGCAATCGATAAAAAAGAATTTCCGTACAGCTAAAATTTTTTTTACATATTTTGAGTGTTTTAATTTTTGACTACTCATCTCCGCTTATACCACTTGAATTTTGAACAAGCAAGTACTAGTTTGATGTGGCATTAACGATACACTCCCTTCATTAAAAAATATAAGACATTTTTTGTAGGATTAGATATTTAAATTAAAAATATAAGGCTTTTTTAGTATTTTCATTGTCTAATTAATGTATTTTTAAAGTTCCCGTAATAAATAAATTAATTTATATTTATTTGAAAATAAAATAGTATATTAAATTAAATAAAGGTAAATATGAAAAGATGTATGATGGTAGTTTGAAAAAAAAATAACTATTTTTTGAAAGTGATATTTAGTTAAAAATATCTTATATTTTTTAAGTGAGGGAGTACAGCATAAAATATTTAAATAAAAATGTAAGAGTGATGTGCCAAACCAAACATAGCCTAAGGCCGGCGAGTGCGTTTGGATTAAAATTAAAAATATTAATTTATGTAATCAATTATAAATATAATTGATTCTTTTTATGGTATAATTGCTATTCTTTTTATGGTATAATTGCTTTAGAAAGACAATTAATAATATTGATTTTAATATAATTTAAAAGTAAAAATTGAAAATCAAGTAAAAATTAAAGTTTTATGAAATATATATTCAAATACCTTTATTAGTTCTAACCCTTATTATATGTCAAAATAAATTGTGAATCCAAAATTATAATTTCTTAAAATCTACATAAACGCCACTGTTAATGTTAAAATTAATAATGAACCCAAAATCCTAATTTATTATTAAAATATACAACTACCCCTGTATATACATGTCGAAGTTTAGATTAAAAGGTAATTTAAATGTATAATGACAAAAATGAATTTTATAATATATTATATATATATATAACTAACTGTAATTTTATAATTTCAAAGTAAAATTAAAAATCAAGTAAAATTATGGTTTCGTGAAAATATATGTCCAAATAATTAATTAGATATGTATAATATCTAAATGTATAATGACAAAAATGAATTTTATAATATATATATATATAATTATATATATATATATAAATGTTAAAAATTATATATATATATCTATATACATGTCAAAGGGGGTGTGGGGGTGTTTAGATTAAAAGGTAAAAAATGAAAGTTAGAATGCTCTGAAGTTTGCAAAATGAAATTAGGATAAAGATATATAATTGTAATTTGATTTGTTTAGATTTTTTTTATAAAAGCCGGTTTAACAAATTAAAACTTATTTAGACGATGTAATTCAACAGCTAGTTTAAATATATAATGCCAACAAAAAAAAAATGAATTTATAACATACATACATACATATATATATATAATATATATTTGTATTTAATTGAATTTTTTAGAAAAATAGTAAACTTTAAATAATTTTTTAGAAAAGATAGAATAAAAAATTTAAAATAAAATGATAAATAAAAAATCTTAAATCTTAAAAAATTAGAATAAATTGATGATAAATACGAACTATTCAATTTAAAAGTAATTTCAATTTCTGGTAAATAAAAAGTAATTGGTGGATGCATAATGACATTTATCAGGATATAGAAGTGGAGCCAAACATTTAAAAAGCGACACGCACCCTTCCACTAATCTTGCTATCTCTGATGAGTGATGAACAAAAACGTCGCCGCATGAGCACCACGGGATACACCTTCGTGCTTGAGCCCCACATCCAGAACGATAGCTTGTGGTCGGCTTCGTGATGCTCTACCAGCTTCTCCACATCCTTTCTGCTATGTAGCTGCACCGCTTCAGTTCGTGCAAGTTGTCCTTGTTCTGTAGAGAGAGCAGATCCGGGGACGACGGCGAACAGCGAACAAAGAGAGGTTCAGATCCAGCTACCACGACGGACGGCGAGCTACACAGACGAAAGAGTAACAACAAACTCAACGGACCAAAGAAACGCCAACCTCGACGGAACAGACAACAACGCCAACCTCGACGGAACAGACAACAACGCCAACCTCGACGATCCCACTACAATGTCCATGGTTGGCGGCGGCGGCGGCGGCGAGCAAGGACATGGTAGGCAACTGCAACAGTAAGAGACAGAGGCAGCGGCTTGCTGCTAGAATTGAAGACAGAGGTCAGAGGCGAGAAAATGACGAGTAGTCGAGCGGGAGAGGATGAGGAGAGAGAAAATCTGGCAGCCACGCGTTTAGAAGTTCAATTCTCCTGCTTTTGTCGAAACGAGGTTTTTGCCTTAAAGGCCCCTTTTCAGCAATTTCTTATCAAGCAATATGCAAAAATTTCTAATTGCTTTTAACATCTAATTGAGGTTTGATTCAGTATTGGGTGTTACCAAACATGTCCTAAATAAATTTAAAAACTATAATTATCTCATAAATTATTATTATATCTGTTTCTAGCTTTTCAATCTTACTTCATCAAAATTTGTTCACATATCCACTCTATTTTATAAATCAGGGTATAACAGGTGTTTCGATTTTTTTAAAAAATATAATTTTAACATGTAGATGTTTGAATATATTTTTATAATATCATAGTTTTGGCTTTTAAAATTAAACATGAAGATTATGCAAACTGCTGGCACTAACTTCAATTTGCATAAAGCAAACTTCTTGCAAGTCGCAAGAGATCACTTTTTTATTCGATAATATATAGGCCGACGTCCCCATACATAGACAGAAGATCAGCAGCACTTATCAGATAATACTGAACTTCCCTTTGCCAGAAGCAACTTTCTGGATCACCACCCAGAAGGGATTTCCACTATTTTGGTTTCTGACAACCAGTTTCCTGCTTCCATTCGAAACATCAATCCCAACGTCATAACAATTCTCTGAAGAACGGATGACAGTGCTGTAGGGACAAAACACAAGCTTGTACCCAAATCCGAGAGCCTCGAACCGGAAAACCCCACTCACCAACTTAGAATCTGGATGGTCTTCAGGCCCACCTATCACCACACTCCAGGATGATCCAGATTCATCGTAAGCGGCCACCCACTTGGAGGATTCTGCACACCGTGGCTTATGCACGAACTCGATTTCCAGATTAGTGGAACCTGGATAAATCTTGCCTGTGCTTGTTCCTTTAACATGGAATTTTAGTGGAGCACCCTTGAACACGTCCCTACCTGATTGGAGAACGGAATAGGCACATGAGGAGGCATCCACAGTTCTTCCTGGAAAAACCCCCACCGCCTCCAGCTCCCCATATGGCTGACACTACGTAGTACTCTTGACCCGGGACAACTGGTTCATTCTGAATGTCGATCACTGGTTCTTCATCAGAAGCTGAGGCTACTGGTAATGGGTTGGTGGTGGTGAAGGCAAACCAGAGGAGGAAGGAGAGGGCTATGATCAGGGACCTTGCAGGCATCTTGCTCTTACAGTACATCTCTCTCGATGTTCAAGCTCTGTGACTTGGAACGTGAGAGAAACCCAAGGCGTGCATGTTACTTATAGGCGTCCACATTCTGTTCTTCTCAAGCATGGCTCAATATGGGCCTTTGATTTTACTATGAAATTATCTCTAGTATTCATTTAAAATATTTTTAACTATTTTAAATATTATATTTATTAATATAAAAATTATAAAAAATTTAATATTAAATTTAGATTGTTCAGAGCACACCTAAATGGAATGGTCAATTGGTAGAATTTATAAAGTTTTACTATTAAATTGGGTTATATATATAGATTATATATTCAGTAGTCAAGATGTAAAATTATAAAAATAAATTTAATATTAAATTTGACCATTCAAATTAAATAAGAACTTGTCATATTGGTGAAAGACAGATTTATTAAAAAAATTTTATTTTTTATACTTTTATTTTAATAAATATAAATAAAAATTAAAAGTTTTAAATTTGGATGGGTTAGATCTTGTCAAAATTGATAAGTATCATGATGCTCATTTCCTAATGTACAGTGAAGACAATCAATTTAATTTAATATTATTTTTTTTATAATTTTTATATTGATAAATATAATATTTAAAAATTAATTTAAATGAAATTTTAGAGGGAAATGAAGACAAAGATTAAGCTATCATTGTTTATAGTACTCAGAGAGAAGGCACGGAAGGAGGATGTTCACAAGGAAGACACGTGTCACTAAATGCATGGATTGATCCCTATCTCAACTTATTGGAAGATTTTAAATAAGGACAAGTAGACAACTGCTCATACATACATTAATTAAATTATTAAATTCCACTTATCCTGGATGTGACATTATCAAGTACCAGGACCTTCAATCAGAGTACAAGATGTTTTAATTAAAACTTAATAATCTGTTTAAAAGTAGTAATTAAGTAAACAAAAATAATGAATACACTAGGACACAATAAATCCAATTACTAAGAACTTTGTAAACTAAACTTTAAGACATGTTCTGGTACTAGTGAGCCATCGAGATATAACTTATCTAAACTTTATCTTATTAAAAAAATAATTACATTAGGACACAAAATTATAATAACATAGCTATGGTCTTCATGTAAATATATTGTTTGATGATTAAAATATTACATAATAAGCTTTTAGGCCCAAATATATTTTATGTGATTCAGAAAATGCAAAATATCATGAACAAGTGGTGCAAAGTTACAATTTGCATGCTATATTTATATTTTGGCGGTTGCGCGCCCTCATTATTACGTGGCTTTGCCTATATCCACTAATTAACACGCACGTATATAGGATTATTGTGTGAATGTGAAGTGAAGTAGATTTATCACATGCCACGAAGAGAAATAAATTAACGATTAATAGGAACGAGAACACCAGATCTTAAGAGCCCGTTTGGTTTTGTTTCCATTTTTTAAAAGAAAAATTATTTTATAATACAATTTTTAGAATTATTTTTTAAATCCAACAAAATAAAAATCTATTTAATTATATTAATTTAACAACATTTTTTGAATTAAAAAATAGGTTGGCAGTGATGATTGGAGGTTGTTAATTGATGGTGGTAGTTTATAATAAAATTGATAAGGTAACTATATTTTTCAATAATAAATGTATTGTGTTTTAAAAATAAGAAAAATAAAATAAAAATAACTTTAAGACATTTCTATTTTTTTATTTTAAAAAATAATAAATGAGAACAGTTTTAAAAACAATCAAATTCAAAGAATTTAACGAAATGATTTTTTTATTTTTTAATTTTTTTAAAAAAATATGAAACAGTTTTTAAAAACGAAAAGCAAACATGCTTTAACATTCTAGAATTTTAACGTTTAAATTTATGGATGTTTTTCACTTTATTTATATTAATTATTAAGATTAATTCTATCCTAATTATAACTCCCTATATCAACCCAAATTCATTCATACTTGGACTTTATAATGCCTGTATACATAATCATTAAAGAGTAAATGAGATTGAAAATTGTCTTTCATCCTGATGCTCCTCATTTTCATGGGTAAATTATATATCTCTGAATAGGCTGTTTAGAAATGAACTAGGTATCATCCAAGAGGATCAGCAACTCATGGGACGCGATTGGGATGTGATAATTCAGCATGTTAGACGCGAACACAACATGGCTGCTGACAGATTAGCAAAACAAGGACTTGGCGCTCCTCCCGGTATTACAAGGTTCTCTCACCCTTCGAGGGACTAACAAAGCATTCTTGATAACGATTGGTCCTCTAAGGATATCTCGCATGTTATTTAAGTAGCTTTTGCTACTCCTTTGTCATCCAAAAAAAAAAAACAAGAAGAAGAAAGAACTGAACTAGGTATCACGGAGTGTCCCAAGTGGTACAATAGTAAGTTCCAATTTAATCAAATGGACCTTTGATATTTTGTCATATAACACTTACAAATTAGAAAGCACCATATCTTGTCTCTTACAATCAGATTAAGTCAAATCAATGGTTGCTCTCAATTTTTGGGGATTGTTTTGAATTTTTAAAGAAAAATATATATTGATAAATGATAATTTTCAAGCGTTGAAGAAATGTAGTAACTATAGTTGAGATATTCATTGAGTGGATAGATTTATGTCACTAAATTCAAATCCAAATTTGCCGTAAAGCTTCACGAGCCTTCATATATATGTATATATATACAGTCACTAATCTTTTTATGTATTTTGCCAATTATAACTGTGCTTGTGGTCTTCAATTGAGATTTAAAAAAAAAAAAACACACATACACACACACAGAAGGTAGAAAAGATATAAAATTGGTCCCTGCTGGCATAGACAGGCGCCTCTACACGATAGTTCATCGTCACAGATAAATTTGTGTGCGCGTATGGATTGAGGTGTAAAAATATCTAAATTTTTATTTAAAAATATAATATTTTTAAAGTCAACAATAATGCATAAATATATCTGCTTATTAATGTAAGGGATTAGCTAGGTATATAGAATATTATTTAAGAAAAAACTTATATACTTAACTTTATATACTTAAAGTGTTCATATCTAATTAAATTGAGACATGCGGATCACTTATATATAATTTATTTTATAATACATTTTTGTTATTAATTAAATTAATATATTAAAATTCACATGTCATGATTTAATTGAATATAAGTATATTAAGTATATAAAGTTAAGTACATAAGTCTTACCTAATTATTTATTATTTTATAATTATATAGAATATTATCATCACAATATCAGTTCGCGATTCTCGTTTCCCACGAGATCAACGTAATATTAAAAATATTACCAACACAAGATCAGTTCGCGATTCTCGTTTCCCACGAGATCAACGTATCGTCACCAGTATTCTATAAGATTATGAAATGAGTGAGCATTCTTTGTCCTTTATCATAAAGACTATTCGGCTTTTAATGATGTGTGTTGAACAACGTAAAAACAACATGGATGGCATTATAACGCATTAACCATCCTTCAAGGATGAAATATAAAGAAACAATACAACCCTATTTTGAAGGGATTATGAATCATGAGGTGAGAACCTATGTTAACATCTTTTTTGAGGTAGGTTACAACTTCCCTAACCTCTAACACAATATGGCACCTTTATATAAAACTTAAGGTCACCAACTTACTAATGTGGTTAACGTACACTAATCACATATTAACACTCTAACATGACAACAATGTGCTCGTCATTTTTTTTTTTTTAAGTAAAGTAATGTTTACTGAACTTTCTCTCCCATGCAGGGCATCACTGAATTCTTTATGCGGAGGCCAGTGCAGGATCGTGATAAAGCTTTTGATCCTTTATGCGGCTGAATTTGGGTTCTTGTTATTGTGTAAGATCTGAATCATCCAAAACTAACTTTAACAATCACTACTATAAAAATGAATTTTAGTAGTATTTAAAATTTTAGTTTCGTGACGTTTATAAAACATTATAAGATTTAATGTCATCTTAGATCTTAAATGGCATTTCTTTAATTAATAAAATATCATAAGAAGTTGAAGAAATGCTATATTTCTTCCTACTTTTAAAAAATAAAAGGAAAGAGAGGTGACATTTCCTTCTCTTCCCTTTTACTTATTTTTTAAAAAGTAAATAGAGAGGCACGTTACCTCTCTACGTACTTCTTAAAAAATAAAAGCAAAGAGGCCACATCTCTTTCCTTTAGTAAAAAAAAAAAGTGTAAGAGGAAAAATCATCAATCCCCTTTTATTTTTTTCTTAAATTAGAGAGCACCACTTTTTAATATATATATATATATATATATAATGTCTAGATAATTCTCTCAGTTTGGCCATCCGTCTGTGGATGATAGGCCGTACTAAACCTCAACTTGATTTCCATTGCTCTCTGTAACGCTCTTTAAAAGTTTGATGTAAATCGTGGATCATGGTCATCCTTTAGCACTCCATGAAGCCTCATGATCTCATGCACATAGACCTTGGCATACTTCTCCAGTGAATAAGTCATCTTCACTGCAAGGAAATGCACTGGTTTGTTCAAACAATCCACAATCACCCATATTGCGTCATAACTCAACTAAGTTCTAGCCAAGCGAGTGATAAAATCTATAGATATGCTGTCCCATTTTCACTCAAAAATCTCAAGTGGTTGTAACATACTACCCGGCCTTTGTGCTCAATCTTGACTTTTTGACACGTCAAACATCGAGCCACAAACTTTGTCACATATCTCTCCATTCCTGGGAACCAACACATTTTCTTTATATCTTGATATATCTTGGTGGCACTTGGGTGGATAGTGTACTTGCTACGGTGTGCTTTCTCGAGGATCGTCTTCCTCATCTCCTCATCACTTGGCACACAGATTCAGCCTCAGTAGGTCACATAACTGTCATCATTAAGCCCAAACTCTGTGGTTCTCATCTTTTCAACATCTTTACAGATTCTAAATAAATATTCATCCTCAAATTGAGCAGCTTACAATTCCTTCCAGAACTCATTGGTTACTACTGTAAAGTGCACATTGCACAACATCATCTGCGATGCTTTCCTCTAAGTATCTAGGAATGTTTCTAACAAGTTGTGCTCCCGAATCATCATGTAAGCGACATGCACCATATTCCAACTTAGTGTATTAACCACTACATTGGCTTTACTCGGATGGTACTTGATCTTAAAATTGTAGTCCTTTAGAAATTTCATCCATCTGCGTTGCCTCATATTTAGCTCCTTCTAATCCACTAAGTACTTTAAACTTTTATGGTCGTTGAACACTTCAAACACTGAACCATACAAGTAGTGTCGCCAAATTTTCAAGGCAAAGACCATCGCTACTAACTCTAAATCATGTGTTGGGTAGTTTTCTTCATGCAGTCTCAACTGTCTTGAGGTATAGGCAACAACCCACTCGTCTTGCATTAGAACACACCCAAAGCCCTTCAATGAGGCATCCATATAAACCACATAGGTAGGCAAGGATCAAGAATGATAAACGCTGGAGCAGACATCAACTTCCTTTTTAGCTCTTGAAACGCCGTTTCACACTTTTCGGTCCATACAAACAAGGAAAATTAAAATCAAGCCTCAAATTACCCCAAACATTCAAAAATTCACATAAAGGGAGAGGTATAGGAAGCTTACCTAAGGATGAATCCTTCTCCAAATGCTTTCAAATTGCTCCCAAGGTTAAGCCCTAGAAACCCTAAGTTTGTTCATCATCACTCTCTTACTTTTTCCACTTTCTCTCTTTAGTTTTTCTGCCCAAATCACGAGTCTGATGAATGCAGATTTTGTTCATCTATCATGGCGCATGGCACAGACTGGCCTAACACTATTTTGGGCCCTTTTTTCTACCCTAGTCCGCTCAAACTCTGATGTATATCTCTTCTAAGGTTGTCCAATGATCTAATAACCACATTAGTCTTTTAAAAACATCAATAATTTAAAATTCACTAAAATTTACCAATTTATCCTTCTAAACATTTAGAATTTCAAAGTTTAAAACTTAGAATGTTACAGTGTTCATTAATAAATGACACATCAATAAAGGATTACCACATCAGTATTTTGATTAGGCCCCACTAAGTGAATAGTAACGGCATTAAGTGTAAGTTAATAGTGGGAGATAATTTACTATGAATTTAGAACTTTAAGGTTCATATTACACATTTTAGGAATTCAGCGTTCAAGGCACTTTTTGCATAATACTTCAGGTCTAAAATGCTCACCTTTTAAAAATAATAATAGTTAATTAAAATTTTAATTTGTAAGAGAAAGGTGGCATTTCTATCACTTGGAAATGCCATCCCTCTCATTTAAATAAATTTTTTAATATTTAATATTAATAATCATATATATATACTAAAAATAATATTAATTAATAAAGAATATAATTTATAAGAGAGAGGTGGCATTTCCAAGCTCAGAAAAAGGTATATATTAATTATGAATACTAATTAAATAATTTATAATAAAATACTAAATAAATAATAGAGTAGATAAGTGGCATTTACTAGCTTAATAAATGCCACCTTTCTAAATTTAATTAATAAATAATATTATATGTTAATTACAATTAATAAATAAATAAATTATTATAAAATAATTATTTAATATGATAAAACAAAATACTAAATCATTAAGAGAGAAAGGAAGTGGCGTTTCAAGTTCTGGAAATGCCACTTCTCTACTTTTAATTATTAAATAAAAATAAATATTTATTATTAATACTAATTAAATAATTATGATAAAATAAATATATAATCTAATAGAAAAAAATACTTAACGTTTTGTTATTGAAATGCTACTTAATTGTTAATTAACAAGAAGTTGTGACATTTTATTTTGAAAGACGCCACCTATATTTATTTATTAAAATTATAAATAAAAAGAATAATTTATATAAGAAATGTCACCTCTTTATTTTGACTTTGATATTAATGGCATTTCATTTGTTATTACTACAAAATTCATGTTAGTAAATTCTGATGAGTTTAATTTTGTTCTTGTTAACATAATAAAATGAAAAATCAAAATCATGGACCCTTAAAGATAATTAACTATGTTGCAGGACCAAATAATTATGATATTACTTTGCAAGACTAAAGGACCAATGTAATTGAAATTTTTGTGAAAAGACAAAACTACCCTTGATGTATTTTTGTTGTGGCAGGAGAATTAATTATTATTAAAAAAAATGAGACTGTTTTTTCAAATGGAGACTTGTTCATTGAATTATAAAAATTTCTCTACCAAATTAATATTTTGTAGTTATTAATGAAGGAATTAATTATTATTAGAATAAAATGAAATTTATTTTTTCTCGAATAGGAACTTGTTCACCGAATCACAATACTTATTTCTCTCCATTATCAAGTTAATTTTTCAGAGTTGTTAATAGGAAAATTGGTTGTTGGTAGAATGGAAATGTGACTTTTTTTTTCTCAAATAAAAACTTGTTCACCAAATCACAACACCTGTTCCTTTCTACTATCAAGTTAATTTTTTAGAGTTGTTAAGAAAGAAATTGATTGTGGTTAAAATGTAAATGGGATTTTTTTTTTGAATGGGGAATTATTGTTAAAAAAGTACATAACATATACATAAAGAGTATTTTTGTTTTTTAGGTACTTTGGTCCTGCAGAGTTAACATCAAAATCATTTGGTCTCGCCACATAATTAATTATCTTCAGGGTCCTTGATTATGATTTTTCCTGATAAAATAAGCTTGTATCAAATATGTACCGCCCAAAATAAAATCTAGACAATCGAGATTTGTGCTCATCACAATAAGCGATGGTGATGGGCATCAAAACTGACCCTCCATTCTGTGGTTGTGACAAATGACTCTCAATACACTGTAGATTTTCACTAAATATTTTGTAATTTGTTACATTGAATGGCAACAAAGGAGTCGCACTCAATTTTGTCTCCTCTTGCGCCATTTGTCAGCCAAAACAAAACAAAAAAAAGCTTGTTTTGAACGTGCACGTTACAGTGGTGCATGCACAGCTGAAGGAAGGGTTGAGATTTTGAGGACGAAAGAGCTGGAAAACAAATAAAATGTACAAATGATAGTGATTTTTTGAGTTGATTTAGAAAAAATATCTCACATGGGCCCGCGCCCATGCTCGAAGACAAAATTAAATGGATTCGGATAAGAACTAAGACAACGTCCTTATCAGGATATATGATAAAATTACAACGATACAAAGAAAATTAACATGCCTCCTGTACAAGGATAACATGTACAATTCGAGAACTAAAACAATAGGAGCAAAGAAATGAAAAATCTTTAAGAGGAGCATATATAGAACGGGTTGGGCGGGTTTTTACGAGCTTAGCTTATTATATTAGGATTTGAATCCGAAAGATTTTTTGAATCTTTTCATTTTAAAAACTCAACTAGATTTTTTTTTGGGCAAAATTAAACTTAATCCTAAACTAATTAATAAATTTTAAAGTTCAAATTTCACATTTAAAGTACAAAAAAAAAATAGAAGATCATTAAATGTCTACTTTTCATCATCATCTATGAACAAAATATATGAACTTGAATCTCAAGCTGAAGAAAGCTCAACTGCTGGGGTTGCTAATTCAACACCATCAATAACTTTATCTTCTTCACCAAGATTAAATTATGATCAAATTGTATTATCTTAACAAGGTTGTGCTTTAGTTTGAAAGCATTAAGGTTTTATCCTTTTGAAGATTTCTTTGATAAGTAATTTGCATAGGGTTAAAAGGTAATTTCACTTTTAAATTATAAATTCATAAGCGCCTAAGATTCAAAACTCATTTTTAATATAAAGTTTCTTTTTAACTTTAAAAAAGGATATAATGTTGCTCCTATCATTAACAAAATTTAACTTTGATTGTTAGTTGACTAAAAATTAAAAAAAGATGTTAAAAGTTATAGAAAAAGACAAAAAAGTACAAAAAAAATTCAAAATTACATATGAGGAACAAAATTATAGAAAATGACCCACAAAAAATTTCTTTTATTGGTTCTTTTCTGTAATTTTTGAAGTCATATTTTGTAAATTTGTGGTCAATTAACAATTAATTAAAGTTAACGTTTGTTAACGATAAGGGCAAGATTACATCATTTTTAAAAATTGAAAAAGAACATTACAACCAAAACTAGTTTAGGGTCTTAGATGATCTTAGACCTATATATTTTGAAAGTTCTTACGAAATATATGTAAATTTCCTCTTCTAAAACAAGGAAAAATATTTTTATAGAGTTATATTTTTTTAAGAGGTTATTCTTTTTCAGTTTAATATTGATTTTTTTAATTTAATTGTTTAATTTTAGCTTGAATTTTATTTTCCTATATAAGTCACTTTAATTTAATTTGTTAGATTATAATTCAATCTATTGACCTCTAATGAATTTTGAATATTGAAATGCTTCGTTCTCTGCTATTAATATTATCAGATTTAAATGCTTCATTAAAAAAATATACATTGCTCCTTGCTGATTTAAAAGGATTATTCATGCATAAAAGGTTTAAAAGTGGTCCCTGCGGGAACTGATAACCCCTACACTATAGTTGATCATCATAATTAGATAAATTGTACACATTTAAGCAATTGCGACAATTGATTGATAATGAATTATGTTTCCTCCTCATCATAATATATGTTATTATTAACTAATTCATAGTTTATGAAAAATATTAGTTAAAATTTTGATTTCTTTAAAAAAGTTAATATTTTTCTATTTATACCATCTCAAAAATTCATAATAACACGTGCATGATTTTTAAATATAAAAAATTTTAAAAACAAGTTATAAAAAAGGTAAAAATATAAAATTTATTTAATGTACTATATTTTAAACTAAAAAATTATAAAAAATGGTTTACATTGTGGTAAAAAGAAGGGATGAAATTCCAATAATAGACTAAAAAGGCATGGAAAGTCAACAGGAACAACTGAGTTATTATTGTGATATTTATAACTCAAATGTCAAATAATATCAAGATTAATAAATAATTTGCTCGTTTATTCCAAACGAAGAGCGTGGTTCCGTGTGAAAATGGGCTTCCCTCCGAAGAAATAAACACGTGAAGGAAAAGGAAATCAGAAACAAAGGAAAAGGAAAACAACACCGACGGTTGAGATTAGATTTTGAGATTTCGATAAGTAAATTTGGAAGCAAGTGATGCTGCGTGACACTCATCACTCATCAGATATCATTCTTCTCACTGTGTATCTATGGGGCCATTGGATTTTGGATATAATTATAACAAAAATTGGATGCATGTGACAAAAGTGTACGTGGTCCTCCCCAAGTTCGAACGCAGCTATGCTTATCCTTTTAATATGTAGAGTTGAGAAAAAAGATTGAACTTAAAAGGTCGGACTTGTAGGCCTTATTTAAATAAGGATTCAGGTTTTAAAAATTATTTTTTTAAAAGGAACAAGATTTGAGGGTCTAGTTCTAATAAATCCTGTAAAAAAAAATTCAAATTTAAACAGTCTTTCAAGTCCTAATAAACTTAATTATTTCTAACTATACGAGTCTGAACAATGTTCAGTTCTTCACAATAAAATATTACTGGGTGCGTGTGACTAGTGCCCAATACATGTCGGGTCCTTCAATCTAGGCTCTGTACCTTTTCAAGAGTAAATCAAGAAAAAGGCTTTCAGGCCTGTCTCTTTTAAGCCTGTTAATTAAAAGGGGGCTTAAAATTGGACTGGCGACGACCAATGTAGCAAGGTACAACAATAGATTTTATTGTATGGTTACCCAAAAAGAAAGAAAGATTTTACTGCAAATGTACACTAAAATATGTTGTACTTTGGATCTACATTGATATTATTACACTATTGCTTTAGATCTCAAATTGCTTTCTGTTTCTTAAATAATATTTTTAAAATTCATATTTTTATAAAATAAAAAATTATTTTATTTTAAAAATTTCTATTTTATAAAATATTTTCAATTTCTATTTTACAAAATAAAACATAAAAGATTAACAATATTTTAATTTCATTTTTTTACATTTCTAAAAAAATATGAAACTATGTTAGATACTTTTTATTTATTTATGTTTAAAATTAGCTACAAATTTTTTAAGGATAAATTGGCTCATTGGCTGAAAAAATCTTATGCCCAAAACATATAGATCAAATTTTTGAAAATTTGGAGTGTGATCAGTTCACATTGATATATAAAGAATTTATCATTGATATATAAGGGCTTTATCATTGAAATTTTAAAAATTTACAAGGAATTTATCATTAATATATAACAGTATTTCATTAACAAATATAATAAACTAGCTATAATGTAAAATATAATAAATATTGAACTATTTGCTTGATTTGTTCCTATAACATGAAGTATATCTGCAAAAGCCACTTCTTTTAATGACCTATAAAATAATGTTTTAAAAATCAGACCAGGCAATGAACTAAAAAAGTCAATAGGTCACAGTTCTTATGGTTTAACTAATTAGACTGGTGATAGAATTAGTGACATAACAATTCAATAAAAAGTGATATTTATATACATATACATACATACATATATATATATATATATAAATGGGTCAAAATAGTTCAACCGTTATAGGTCTTGGTTTTTTCTCGAGATCTCCAAGAACTGCTCGAGTTAAAGCTAGCCAACCCAGGTGAACTGCTAGAACAGGTGAAATGGTTTAACCAAACTGCTTTCTTCTTCAAGCAATGGTCTGACTATCCAAGTTGGGTCTGAAAATATTGTTATAAATGCACACCATGTATAAGGTGATAAATTTTCAAATAAAATGCGATCATTATTACAAAATCAAGAATTAATGATAGTTATTTTAGCCCATAAATGATGGTTAATAATTATCATTTATGTGTTTGATATTTAAAGTCCTCTCAATAAATAACAGTTATATAATTATCATTTAAAATATAATTTCTTAGTATTGCTACTGTCAGGGGGGAAAATAAATGACGGGTACAGTATGGTAAATTCTAGCAATGAATTTTTAATTTACAAGAGTTAAAAATTATTTATGAATTTTTAACTCTTGTAAATTAAAAATGTTAGTACCAGATCGGAGGAGAAAGCCCGAAAAGGAAGATGAAAAAGGGGAGAATATGCGAGAGAAGTAGGAGGCAAACGGACTGCTTGATTAGATCACAGTTAATCAAAAATGTAAAGCAAAGATGTAGAAATTAAAACAAGGTTGTAAAAAATAAAATGCAAGAAACTAAAAGGTTGCCCGAAAGGCGGTAGCCAAAACCATCTTGACAAAAGTTATAGAAAATAAAGAACAAGAATTCAAAACAAAGCCAGAAAAGTGGCAGCCCACACGGTCTAGGTGAAAAAAAAAAATCAAAATGCAAAATAAATGAAAAGGATAAAATGCAAGAAAGTGAAGGAAATAGAAGAAGAAGAAAGTGCAAGAAAGTAGAAGGTTAATGAAAAATTTTATTGAAGAATGAGAATGAGGCTTACAAACAGAACTCTCTTTAAGACCTCTCCCTTTTCTCTTCTCTCTTTCTCTCTAGCTCAAAACTTCTCCTTGAAAGGGACATTACAAGGTTTTATATAGACATTTTTGGAAATACATATAACGGTCAAGATTTTTTTCAATCTAACAGTTGAATTTCATCTTAATTAATCTTCATCTAATGTCTGCATGTTACCACTTATCAATGATCAGCACTTGGTCAAACGGTTAACTATCAACAGTGAAATTTTTTTTTTGAATTTTTTTAATGGTTAATCTTCTTCAAATTGGTTAATCTTCTTCTAGATCAATTCCAAAGTAATCATCTTCATTTTCTTATGCAAAGTCTTCTTCTAGGGTTTCTACAACAGAGATAGAGGTAGAAGCAGGGTCAACAGTCAATTGTTAGTGCACTTTTTAGTTAGTTAATAAAGGTCTCTCTATCCAAGGTTGAAGCCAAGCATGCATAAATTTAGCTTTTTTGGTCGAGAAACTTATCGTTCTCTAAGGTGATGAGCTATTTAGGGTTCTTTTTGAACTATGACTAGACTGTAGAGACATCAACTCTATAGTCTTAAAAGTTTGCATACCACCTTATGTATGAAACCCTCTAGAGAACAAGATATCCACTAGGTGGACTGGTATATTTGTAATGCTAAGCAAAAATCCAAGACAATGATAGTTTGATGAAAAATGTAGAAAAGAAGGGAAGGGATCATCTATGAGATTTATTTTTTATTTAAAATATGAAAATCCTTGTTTAATAGCTGGGGGTGGAATTTCCTCAATAAATCCAAAGTAATTCCATCATTTTATA